TGCCCAGTGGGCTTGCAGTGGCAGTAATCCCCACAACCCCTGGCAGGCTTAGTTTAAAGCTCGGTCAAGCAGGTCAGCCAGTCTGGCTGAGAAGAGCCTCTTCCCCAGTGCAGTGAGGTGGAGTCTGTCTCTCCCCACCAGACCACTGCCTCTCTTACCAAAGAGCGGACTGTGATCATGGAAGCCAAAGCCTTCACAAAGACACCAGCACTGCAATCTTTAGTTGACTACCTCAATCCTCCTCTCCCTCCTCAGCCCATAGCCCAAAACCAGGAGGGTCGAGGAAAATACCACCTGCACCCCCCAACCCCTTAAGCCCCAACTCTCAAAGCCCTGTACTGTCTCATGACCCAACTGGGATTGCTCTGAGCCATGTCATTCGTGCCCACATGGATAAGGAAAATAGGGTAGTGGCTGGTGGCCATGATCAGTTTAGGGATCCTCTTGGCCATGTCCTGGATACAGGTTCTTGGGAAGCAGCAGACCTCCAAGGCTAAGGGGTCGGGGTGGCAGATTGTGCCCTCAGTCCCCCTCAGAAGGGAGTTTCCCATAACGACCACTCTACAAGTGGCCTTAGGGAGAGCAAGGATGGTAGCTGCGGGTGAGCCTGCATTGCCAGCAGGAGCTGGCAGCTCTGCAGATTCTACTGGGGCTGCAAGAGGTTTGCAAAGCTCCAGAGTGGAGGGGACCATGGTGCAGTGGGCCTTGGGGCTGTTGACCACCTTGGTCCAACCCCCTGGCCAGACAGTATGGGAGATCCCCGAGTCCTCCCTTGTCCTGGAAGATGACCATGGTCTACCTTCCGCCTCAAGGGCGTGAAGGCCTGGCAGTAGGAGCCTATCTCCTGCTCACCATCCCTGATGACACACAGTCTCTGGACTGCAGCCTGGAGCTGCTCAATCTGGTGCCCCAGAGACTCCAAAGTGGAGCAAACCCCACAAGGGGAGGTGGCCATGCTCCTGGTCCCGTGTGCCTGGCAACGTGCCAGGCAGGCCCCTCATCCAAGAGCCAGAGGCTGCATCTGCGTGGAGCCTGGAACCATGAGTTCCGTCTGAGTGAATGCCTTTGAGGTGCCAGTGGGGTAGGCCGCCGATTCCGAAGGGACCCTCAAGGTGCAGCGTGTGCCCATTCACATTGTGCCACTGGTAGTCTGGCTACTGATGGGACTAGCTTCCCTAGGGATCACTGGCAGGGCCTCAGGCCCTCCTGCTCACCATCCCACACTAACTCCTGTGCTAACTCGTGTGCCAGGCCCAGAAGCATGCCTGTTTGCACGTCCTGTTCATGAGGCTCCAGTCATGTGGCTCCCTGGGGGGCTGGGCCAAGTAGGAGCCAGGGTGGGGTAAGACCCTCCTCGGCTCCTCTCAGCTGCCTCCCCACTGCTGAGCTATGCTAGTCCCCTCCCACCATGGGCCCCGCTTACCTCCGGCTATTCTGGGGGGTGGTGGGGTGCTCCGCAGCTGTTGGGGTTTGCTGGGGGGCTTCAGGGTGTGGGAGCACGACAGGCTTGCATCTGTGTCTTGCACCACTCCTGGAGCCAACTCTTGGCTCTTTGCATTTGGACTCTGATCACTTCTTGATCTCTTGGCCCCTAATTTCATTGGTTTTGGATTCTGCTTGCCCACTCCAACTCTGGTTTTAATATTATAGACCTCTATTCCAGTAATCCCAGTCCCGAGTTCGTCCACAATTCTGGCTGCCTATATCCTAGGACTGACACTGGATGAAGCATGCATAAAATAACTTGTTATTTTTTTTACTATATTGGAGGCATATAAATACTAACCACCTAGAGGCTACTAATTTCAAATGTGTCATAAACTCAAAGTGTTAGGTGATATCACAGATCTCACTCTGCATGTGGTACTATAACCATACTTGAATGAGGGGCAAAACTCACCAACTGAAACCCCTCAGTGCTGAAGTAGTAGGCTTCCTTTGCATCAATATGAGTTTCTTGGAGGCAAATGATGCTCATGTAGTGATAGTGGATGAAAAGGCAGGTAAGGCATCTTTCCTTAGCAGCTGGGCCTTCAACATTCAGTTGAAGGAGCCTAACTGTTAGGAACTTGGGAATTTTGGCCAAGAAATCAAAATATGCCACTCAACTGGCCAAAAAAAACTGGAACTGGGTGTGTTTTCTTCCAAATTCAACTGGTTTGAGGAATGTAACAGGAGAGTGCAGGATAGGGAGAGCAGAACCAATGCAGCTTGCAGAAGGCCTGGCTGCAAGGAGCTGGTATGAATAGCACAGTTAAATGGGCTGCAAGATTCAGCCTACAGACTGCAGGCAGCAGAATACTGGACTGCTGATTAGAGAGTTAGTAGCACCTGGGCCCATTTAATAGTGTCTAGGGTCAGCTGACCAGAAGGGGAAGGAGAATGGCTAGAGCTGGCTTGTCCAACATATGGCCCGCGAACCGCCATGCAGCCCGCCAAGCTGTTTTCTGCGGCCCAAGGTGCTGCGAGTACAAGCATTCCTTCCACAGAGAAACAAACTGTCCCTTGTGACAGGACTTGACCTTTGAGGCTGGCTGCAGTGCCCTCTACCAGCCCCACTTAGCTTGCTTCACTCTCTGGCCCCCAATTTCCTCCTACCTCTTACCTGCCACACCCTGATGTTATTGTTGTTACCTGGGGAAGCTGCTAGGGCTGTTTGAAGCTTCGGTTCCTGATTCCATTCAGTGGAGATATGGCCTGATTTGGTGGCTGAATCTCCAAGTCTAAATTGAATCAGGAGACCCTTTAATCTCTCTGAATTGAATCAGAACCCTCCAAATTGGTTCGGAAAGATTCAGTGATTCAGACATAGACATGGCTTTAAATGTTAAGGTACCAGGCAACTTTAAATACCGTAAGGTACCAGGCAACTTGTCAACACTGCAATGCTGGGGCAGATGGAGCATTCCACAAGAGCATGGGGGGGAGGGGGGGTCCCCAGTGTACTCAGCAGAAGGCCTTGAAGTGGACCAGAAGCACTTCTGATCCACTTCTGGGTCCTCTGGGGAGCACGCTGCCCCCCCCCCCTTCCTGGCTCGGTGACTGGTGCCTCCTAGGTCTGGGGTGGGCACCTGGGGTGCCCCTACAGCTGATTGCCGAACCAGGGGGCCACGCCCCCCCCACGTACTCCTTGGTGGACCTGGAAGTGGACCAGAAGTAGTTCTGGTCCACTTCTGGGTTTGCTGCCAAGCACACGTCCCGTCCTCCCCCCCCACCCCCACCCAAAGCCTGTGGGATGCTTCATCTGCCCCAGCATCGCAGCATTCATGAGCCATGCCTGGTACCTTGAGGTATGTAGAAAAAAACATTTAAAGCTGTGTCTATTTCCAAATCGCTATTTTCTGGATCAGTATCAAATCTTCAGATTCAGATTCAGCTGAATTAAATTGGGGACAGTGATCCAAATCAATTAATTGAATCCCTGTCCTCAATTTGGGCCAAATCTGAATCAAATATGGCCCATTTTGCACACTCCTAGAAGCTGCCACTCAAGGTCAGAGTAACTCTTTTGGTGCCATTCTTCTTAGCTCAGCCCCTGGGGGCTTCTCTGCCTCCCCAAATTCAGTCCTCAGGACTTTTCCCAAACTCTGCTGTTTTATGTATCTCTAGGGTATGCGATCCCTTTAACCCAGACCTCAGGGACTCTCTAAGGATCCACTTAAGCATGAGTACTTCCTAATCATGACTTAGGGGCCACAATCCTGGCTTCCAACTGTCCCCGTAGCCACACCCATACCTCGCGGGCGTTACCCAGCTTTCATGGCCCTGTCTTTAAAACAATTTACCAGCCCCTGGGCCCTTAGCTCTTGCAGAACTGTTTCCCTTCTCTCAGTACTCTGGTTTCTTAAACCTGGTAGGGCCACTGCTTCTCTATCACAGCCTACCCATTCTCTGACCTTCACAGGGCTTACAGTACCAAGTGCATTCCAGGCACCCCCTGTAGCCTCCAAACCACCCACATAGCCACAACCCAAAGCCTTTGGTCAGCAAAACCTAAAAGGAAATCAACTATGTAACACAAACTCCTTATCTTTGTAAGGCTCCCAGAACAGCTCATTCCTCTTCTGAGGATCTGAGCCAGCCTCAACCTCTAGCCCAGGGGTGTCCAACCTTTTTGAATGTGGGGCCGGATCACGGACTTTTTATCACCCAGTGGGCCGGTGAGCCATATTCAAAGACCTCACAGGAAGTAGTATCACATCAGGAAGTGATGTCACGTGACCTTTGACACCAAAGAAGATGCAGGAAGTGACAATGAAATGGGTCTGGAAATGTGGTTTAAAATCCAAAATAAAAAACAATATAAAAGCAACAATGAAATAATGCCAAACACTTGACTAAAATAAACACTTAGGTTACAGCAGCAAGCTATTTTGGCATTCTTCCCTTGTCGGCCTGGCAGCTTTGCAGGGAAAGGGGCCAAGCCTTGGGTGCTGCTTGGTCCCCCAGCCACATTTTGCAAACCCATCCTCCCAGACACACACTGCTTGGAAAGAAACAGGCTGGAATCAGGGGCTCAGCAGGCCATACCCAACCCCCTTCTGGCTGCCTTGGCCTGAGTTCCTTAGAGTTTTGCATCCTATTATTACTTTTTAAAGGTGAAGGTGGCTGAGACCTCTTGCCCGTAGCACACAAGGCATCTGAGATGAAAGGGTGCCTGTTCTGCTGCCCTGGTGGCTGTGGACACTGCCTTGGAGGAGGAGGTGCAAGATCAGGGATGCCCCTGGCTTCCCTGTATTGTTCTCTAGCCTCCTCCAGCTGAGCCCTCTCTAGTGCAACCTTGTATTAAGTTTTATTTTTTACTTTTTGGGCCCTTGTGTCCCCTTGGCAGGTAGAAAGTTATATATATATATATATAAAAATAAATAAATAAATAAATAAATAAATAGACCATCGATTCCTGAAACTCACCATTGCATAGAAGGGTTGCCATCCGTACATATTATTACCTAAAAAAAGTAAAAAGACCCACAAAAATAGATGATTAATAGCAGCTCATCTGGAAAAGATTTTCTGTTTTTGTTAGTTATTGCTGTCTTTGGTTTATCTTCCCTTGAAAGTAGAATGATAGCTCCTCTTCAGAGCAGGTGCTTAGGAATAATGTTCATGATATATATTCTTGGCTGGTTAGCTGATTCACTGTACAGTAGAGTTCTGTTTTGATAAAGTCTTAGAGAAGATATCATTAAGTCTTTGTTTCCTAATGATACTCCTCTGGAAGTTGTTGCTTTTAATACAAATGATTCAGTTCTTAAGGATGTGAATAAATGAATCAAGAGGATCCAACATGAATCATACTTTCTTTCTATACACATCTCATCTATCTGTACAGTTCCATTGACCTTTGACAGCTCTTTCCTTCCAACCCCTGGTGAGAACCATGCGTCATATCACTTGGAGTTTCAATGGCACAGAAATGTGGGCTGTCCTAGCTATTACAGGATTTTTATGTCTCTACGCATACACACCAGCACTTGGATTATCAATATAATGCTGTGACAACAATAGACAGATGTACCATCTGCAGCGAGGTCTCTGCAGAGCACGTGTTCCAGTTGATTTTCCTCTTTTCCTCTAAGTCCTTATATGAAAAGGAGAGCGAGAGAGAGAGTTACTGCTGTGATGTCCTTGCTTAACTTTCTACCTGCACCTTCTCCCAAACATTTTAGGGGTGAAAGGGAGAGAACTGCACCAAATTGTCCAACCAGGTTGCCAAAAGGAGGGAGAACAGATTCTCTGCTGGTTTCTCTAGTCTGTGATCCTATCTCCAGTCCCCTAACTGGTTTAGCTCTCTTTCCCCAACTCATTGTCACCCACCCATCCCCAGTTCCCTATCCTCTATATTCTCTACCTCCATTCTTCTGCCAGCCACTATTGTTTATTCACCTATTCTCCTGTGTTGGCTGCTCATCCTTTATGTGGGCTGGGTGTGATGCTCATAAACTCTTTCCTCCTTCGCACTAAATTTCTTTTAAAATGGAACACTCAGTTCAAACCAGTCTCAGAGCAGTAGCAGGGAACTTGCTGCTTTATTTAACTGCATCCACAAAAAAAAAGAGGGAAAACTCCCACTGAATACATTAGAAATAAGAAAGAACTGTGCACAAAATCTAGCCCATAAGTCTTTGGGGAACCTGTTATGGTAACTTTGATATAGTCTTCCTTCCCTGATACTGAACAGAGGGAGAAAAGAAGCCTCCATGCTGCAGGGAAGGAAGCTAGCCTGCTCCACTCAGTAGTGCAATGAATGGGGGTGGGGCGGGTTCTGAGGCACTAGCCCCTGGCAGTGGGTGTGCAAAAATAGCAGCAGCTGCATTGCCAGGCTGGCCACTGCCACACCCCCAACAGTACAGCCACTTAATGCTGTCTTATGTGTTGCTGCCACTGCAGGCATTCAAGAATCCAATTACACCTCTGTCCCTTCTTCCTGCCCACTGACTGGAATCTTTATTGGGTAAGGAGGAGGAGAAGAGCAAGCAGGGCTGTGGCAGTCAGATGGGAACTTGCTGCTCATGCAGCTTTGTCCTTGTACTGTTCCCCATGCAAACCCAGCCAGATCCTGAGCAGTGGAACATCTGTTGCCACTTGGCTCATCACAGCGATCTTATGCTTGGACTGTGGCAGAGTTGCACTCTAACCTGCTACCCCATGAAAGTAGACAGAACAGTGCTCCCCAGCTCAGAGGTGTTTCTCTACATTCCCTATCACTTTGACTGCTACAGACATAATTTCCAGTGCCATCCATAATGATATCCTGTCTCATCCTTCTCCTAGTCCCTAGGTTTTAATGTGGGAGCTCAACAGGTAGAACAGTACTCCTGCTGGGCCTCTGCATTTAGATACAGAGGAAATCATGAAGACTTATAAGGATGATAGGCAGTAGCGAAGGGTAAGAAGGGAAAGGTGGTCAGGTGCTTCTGGGGCTTGAGGGGCCTGATCCTGCATTAGAATTCCTGGGTTGCTCAGGATCAGGCCCCTCAAGCTCCAGAGCATCTTCCCAGGGCAGCTGGAAAATGTGCGCAGCTCCAGGCTGTCCATGCTCTTGCACCATAAAGCAAATAGACATCCACCCCTAAATAGTGGCACAAATTGATGCCACTTTTGTTGTGGCCACAGATTTTGCACATTTGTGTTGTAATGAGGGGCATGGCAACAAATATCAAGCAAGGGATTTTCATGGCCTTTGTGCTGCCATAAAAATGCTTGTGGCATCACAAAGGCAACGTCTGTTTTCACCCTGAGTGGAAATTGTTCAAGTCTTAGAACAGCTTTTGAGCTAGCAGATGTACATTTTAACAGTGCTGTGAACTTTCCATGGTTCATCACTCTCGGATTTAGTGAAACAAAGTTAAAATAGAATGACTGGGAAAATTTCATTGGCAAATTTTGAAGAAAAATGTTATTGCAGCAGAGGGTGTCTGAAACAAACACCTGTGCTAATGGTCTTTATACCATTGCATTATAAAAATCTCGCAGTATGCATTAGTAGGACTGCTACTATAATTTTCCACAGCTGGAGTAGAGATGTCTGAGGGGGCCAGTTCTCTTCTGAGTCTGATGTGAAGAGCTCCCATTACAAACACTGATAAACCGAAGAAAAACCATCAGTCCCAAGGACCCTATGGAAGTATGAACCTTACTGTGGAACCTGAAAGTAGTAGAGAGAATTATTTAAATCGCTTCCAAAGTATTTAGTTGCTTTTACTTGCCCAATACATCTCTGCTTTTTAATAATGCACATTCTAAGTTTCAAATGCAGCTGGTTTTACAAGAGCACAGAAATAGAGATATACTTGTGCCATATGATGATTTTAAGCAAACAAATTAGCATGGAGAACTAGCTTAGAAAAATGAGGGCTGATGTGGTCTGGGCATGTGATATATACGTAAGAATAGGGTACCATGGAGGGCTGACAATGAGGCCCAGAGCAAGACCACAGAAATAATTGGCAGACAATATGAGGGAAGTCATTGTTACAAGAAATGATTCCTGGGAGGAAATTAGAGAAGACAGACAGTGGAAAGCCAGGAAGAGTTAGGCTGAGTTAGTGTATTGCCAGATCCAGGGAAAGGCTGGAATCAGTGACTGATAATAAGGTAGGGCAGTGATTCTTAGCTAGGTTGCCATAGGATCTTTTGAAGGGTGTTATGAGGTTTGAGAAGATAAGCAATTGTGAAGAAATAAACTCAGGTTCTCCCTGCCTGGCTGCTCCTGGGCCCTTTACAAGGAGATAATGCTGCAATACCAAACTTGTTTTTGAAATGGGGTACCGTTCAGTTCACAAAAGTTATAGAGGGGTGTCTTGAGTCTAAACAGGTTGAGACCCACTGATGTAGGGTATTAGCTAATTTTAACCTGGGTATACCACACTGCCATTTTATTCATTCCCAGTCATGAGCAGGTGAAAAATTGATGACTCCCAAAGGCTGTGTGTTACAGTGAATAGGGCACTGGACTAGGATTTGGGAGGTGGACACTCTTCCTGTACCTGCCGCTGACTTCCTGAGGGAGCTTGAAGGAGTCACTTCACTTCATCTTCTGTGCATCTGTTGCCCCTAATGGAAAAGGGGAATAATGATGCTGATTATCTTTGACATCTGGACATCAAAATGATATAATAAGAACCAGTCATTTTCAAGGTGATTGGTAGTTTTTAAACCAGGAAAATTATTAATCCTGAAGTTCTTCCCCTTCACATCTAATGTAATGCTTTCCTCTCTAAACTGCCTATTCCATATTCTCTTTGCACATCGAGCACTCACTGATGTCATTGTAAGCTTGGTGAATGGAACAAGTACAACAGATAAGGATCCATGCTGTGGGTACATGATGCACATTTCTGTACAGAAAGAGAAACATTTATGTGGAGCCATGAATTAATAATAAGGCAAGTGCCACAGGAGGTATGCAGTATCAAGAGTAAAGGAAGTCAACAGTATAAGATGTATGCTAACATGTTGGAGCTATTACTTAAAAATATACAGTCTCTCTGGTTTTCAGAGCCAATAGCCTGTGCCTATTAGTTTTCAAAACTTGTCTATTAGGTATGTAGTCTTTTTGGGTACCAGAAATATGGATCAATAGGTTATCTGAAAAAGAAAGCTTGCTTCTAGGCGTTTCTATGGTGACACCCATGCTTATTCATGATCACTGTAGTCATGGGAAGGTGAAGTGACAGATTCATCAAATAAAGAGTACTGTAAATTATCATTGAGTAAGTGTAGAAGGATAGGGAATACTGAGGCAACATTATCCATTACTCCATTGTATTCTCCTTTGTCCTTCACTTCAGCTTAACTCCTTGCTAAAAATAGACAGATGTTCTGCTTTTTCAGGGCTTCTTTGTTTTAAGTTCTGTGCAACAATTTCTACTTAAAATCCTGATATAAGAAAGCTCCCAATTAACTTCAGAGGCAGAATGCCATATATATCAGTAATTTCTTAGTAAACAAATATTGCATGCACATAAAACATTGCAAATAACATAAAATATAGCAAATAGTATTTGAAATACCATGAAGGATGTTTAAACAAAAGCTGTTAGACAGTAATTCTACAAGTGTTTCTCATGCAGACCTCCCCCATTTGTTGCTCTTACATATTTAAATTTAAAAGCATGGTTTCAATATAATCTATATATTTTCATATTGCCTTCTGATGATCTTTGACAGGCAATTTATCCATCGCTATAGAGAGTGATTTTAATATGCAAGGTGTCAGCTGGACTTCTCAAAGATTGTGAAACACATGAGCATCTCAATTTGTTCAGAGCACTTGAAATCTCACCAGCAAGCAAGGAGTCTAGAGTCCTCATACCTAGCATCAATCCATTCATTTAATTAATTATTTACAGACCCTCAGTTCCTCATGGAACTGCATAGAAATCTATAGCCTATAACCAGAAGGGTATTGGGCTTAGTATATAAAATATAGCAGATCTCCATACAGTTGTAATTCAACAGAACGCCATCTTTCCATGTAACCCCCACTAAGTATGGTAAGAATTCACGATACTTCATCTCGCTCAACTCCATCCTTATTTCAACTGCAACAGCATCTCACTTCAAAGCAGATAAACTCAGGTCCTCAAAAGTAAAATATTGTTGAATTCCTAGCTGCCAGGCACTTCACCATTTAGTGAAGTCCTCAGCCCCTAGTTAAACAATCAAGCTCCCCATACAGTTCAAGAAAGTAGGGATCGTTGGTGCTGTGGGTAACATTTATGCTTTCCAGGTATGAAATACAGATGAAAAAGATGGGGAAAGAGACTGGCCAGTGCTGACAGGTGCCTAATACTATAGCCAGGCAAGTGATTCCCTCTGTTCAGGATCCTGAGCTGGAAACTCTGAATTAGGGCATCTAAGCCACGTCTACAAAATAGAGAGGGTCCTGCCCGAAAATACCCAGTAGTCACTGGGTGGTGATTACTGGATGGGGGAGATGGAAGAAGGGCCTTGATTAAATTCCTAATCTGTCAGATTTAGATCAGGGAATTGAATCCATATTGGAGTGTGGGAGGGGGAGGAAGGGGGGGTTGCTTGTCTAGTAAATTAGAACAGCATTTTTCTGTATCCAAAGCAGTACATGTATATGGTCTTATACCTTGCATCCTCACAAACAGCTACCGAGCATGTCTAATTGTTTAACCTACTTGGGAAATGTCTGGGCTCTTCCAGTTTTTTGGTTTTGTCACGGCAGGGTCCTACAGGAGGGCCGTGATCTCCTCAAGGCCCCCTACCCGTGCCAAGCTGGCCCAAGGGCACCCTCAAATTCTCGCCCACCACATCTTTGATGACACTATATATTAGGGAGGCTGCCTTTTATGCCCTCTTGATCACTTCTCGCTGGTTACTTGGACCCCGTGGTTTCCCAAACCCCTCATGGGTCCCGCTCTACAATGGGTGCTTCAGGGGCACCCTAGCCTTAGGGGCTATGCGTGGCTCCAACCATCCCTTTACCATGCCCCAGGCCTCGCAGCTGGAATAGATGTTGTTCGGTCTGGGTCTACACCCTCTCTCTGGCGCTCGGGCTCTCCATGGCCCTGTCTCTCTCTGCGTCTTCTCTCTGGCATTTCTCCACAATGCTGCTCCCTCTCCTGGGGCTCTTCACTGCCCTTTTTCTCAAGGGTCTCCTCACAATAAAGCCGCCCTCTCTCCGGGGCCTTCTCAAGCGCTGCCCCCTTCTCTGGGGCTCACCACACCCGCACTGGGGCTTCTCAGCAATGCCCCCTTTCTCTGGGGCTTCTCAACTGCCCCTCTCTGGGGCTGGGGTCTGTGCATCCCAAATGCTGCGCCCCTGCTGGTGCTGGGGTTCCCACACTGCTGTGGGTCCCCTATGAGGCCTTTCTCCAACCCCTAATAGCCTCACCCAAACCACCAGTCACAAATAGCAACACAAATACAAGCCCCTAGGCTATAACATAAACATAAGCCACCCGGCTAGAACTACTCTCAAGCCTACCAGAGGTTCTTCATCCTGCAGCAGTCTCAGACGTTGCTCCTGCCTCAGGCTTCTCCTCTCTTCCATGACCAAGAGCTCCTTCTTCTCTGGCTGCTGGTAGAGAACTGCCACTGGCCTCAGCTCCTAAGGTTTATAAGGGAGCCAGGCACTGCCCATTTCAATCAGCTGACCACTGGCAGGTGTGATCTCTCGCTAGCTCCAGTTGCCCTGGCAACCAACAGCTGGGCTCCTGATTCACTGCTAGGGCTCTTTCC